CAAATGGAATCATACTCAAAAAGCATCAGGGAATTGTTGGTTGTTTTCAATGGGATTCAGTCACGAATCATTTGGTAAAACAAAATTATCTTTTAAATTAAATCCTGACTTGTCTATACCAAGATTTCCATAGATATTCCATAGAACACCAGCTTAATGTTGGTAAGTACTTTGGATATAACTCAGGCCAACACTGTTACTTTATGGATGAGAAGAGGCTCAGAAAGGTGAAATGATCCATCCCATATATTACCAAAGAATTATACACCATGACCAAGAGGGATTTATCCCAGGAAGGCAAGATTGGATTAACACCCACCTCCAGATCAATTAATGTAATAAACCAATAAAACCAAAAACAAAAACCACATGATCATCTCCATAGACGCAGAAAACGCATTTGGCAAAAGCCAATGCCTTTTCATGATAAAACAATGAAACTAGGAAAAGAAGGGAACTTCCTCAACCTAATAAAGGGCATCTACGAAAAATCCACACGTACTCTCATACATAATGGTGAAAGACTAAAGCTTTCCCCCTAACATCAGAAATAATACAAGGATGTGTGCTCTCACCAATTATATTGAACATTGTGCTGAAGGTTCTAGCCAGGGCAATTACGCAAGAAAATTAAATAAAAGGCATGCATATTGGAAAGGAAGAAGTAAGACTATCTCTATTTGCAGATGGAATGATTTTATAAATAGAAAATCCTAAGACATCCACTAAAAAAACTATTACAATACACTAGTTCAGCAAGGTTTCAGTATATATTGCATATAAGATCAATATACAAAAATAAACTATATCTACATATACTTAAAATCAACAATCCAAAAATTAAATTAGGAAAATAATTCCTTTTACAATAGCATCAAAAAGAATAAAACACTTAGGAATAAATTTAACAAAGACATGAAAACTTACACTCTGAAAACTACAAAACGTTGCTGAAGAAATGGAAGATCTAAATAAATGGAAAAACATTTCATGTTCATGGATCACAAGTTTTAATATGCTAAGATGGAAACACTCCCAAAATTGATCTATGGATTCAACTCAATCCCCACTAGAACTGCAGATGGATTTTTTGCAGAAACTGGAAAGCTAACCCTATAATTCATATGGAAATTCAAGGGATCCAGAGCAGACAAAGCAATCTCAAAAAAGAACAAGGTTGGAGGACCCACATTTTCCAACTTTCAAAACTTACTAAAAAGTTACAGTAGTCAAAACATAGTGTGGTACTGGCATAAGGACAGACATAAAAATCAGTGGAATCAAATTTAGTCCAGAAATAAACCCATACATTTATGGTCAATTGATTTTCTGTGAGGGTACCAAGACAATAAAAGGGGGAAAAAACAGTCTTCCAACAAATGGATCAAAAACCTAATGTAACAGGTAAAACCATAAAACTCTTAGAAGAGGCATAAATCTTCTTGACCTTGGATTAGCCAATGCTTTCTTAGATACAATGCCAAAACCACAAGAAACAAGTGAAACGAGATAAACTGGACCTCATCAAAATGAAAAGACTTGTACTTCTAAGGATATCATCAAAAATAACCCAAAAAGACAACCCACTTTATGAGGGAAAATATTTGCAAATCATATATTGATATCGATAGAGGTCCTATACCTAGAATATGTAAAGAACTCTCACACCTCATAATAAAAAGACAAATTAAACAAAAAATGGGCAAAGGATCTGAACAGACATTTCTCCAGTCAAGCACAAATGGCCCAGCAGCACAGGAAAGATGCTCAACATCATTAGTCATTAGGGAAACATAAATCAAAACCACAATGAGAGGCCACCTCACACTCAGGATGGCTATAAGCAAAATGACAGGCAATAACAAGTGTCGAAGAGGATGTGGAGAAATTAGAACCTTTGTGCATTGCTGGTGGGACTGTAAAGTGTTGCAGCCACTCTGGAAAATTTACAAAGTTAAACATAGAACTACCATGTAATCCAGTAATTTTATTCTTAGATTTTACTCTTAGTATCTACCCAAGATAGGTGAAAACATAGATCCACACAAAACTTGTACATATATGTACATAGCAGCATGAGTCACCATAGCCAAAAGGTGAAAATAACCCAAATGTCAATCAACTGATGAATAGATAAATGAAATATGGTATATCCATACAATGGAATACTGTCAATTTAAAAAATGAAGTACTGATAGATGCTACAACATGGATGAATCTTGAAAACACTATGTTCAGTGAAAGAAGCCAGTCATAAAAGGCCGTATATTGTGAATTTCCATTATATGAAATGTCCGCAGGCAAATATAGAGACAGCAGAATTAGAGGTTGCCTAGACCTGGGAATGGGTGATAGAAAGGTACAGTGACTAAATGGTTAAGACATATTTTTAGGGTTTAAACTATATCTACATATACTTAAAATCAACAATCCAAAAATTAAATTAGGAAAATAATTCCTTTTACAATAGCATCAAAAAGAATAAAACACTTGGGAATAAATTTAACAAAGACATGAAAACTTACACTCTGAAAACTACAAAACGTTGCTGAAGAAATGGAAGATCTAAATAAATGGAAAAACATTTCATGTTCATGGATCACAAGTTTTAATATGCTAAGATGGAAACACTCCCAAAATTGATCTATGGATTCAACTCAATCCCCACTAGAACTGCAGATGGATTTTTTGCAGAAACTGGAAAGCTAACCCTATAATTCATATGGAAATTCAAGGGATCCAGAGCAGACAAAGCAATCTCAAAAAAGAACAAGGTTGGAGGACCCACATTTTCCAACTTTCAAAACTTACTAAAAAGTTACAGTAGTCAAAACATAGTGTGGTACTGGCATAAGGACAGACATAAAAATCAGTGGAATCAAATTTAGTCCAGAAATAAACCCATACATTTATGGTCAATTGATTTTCTGTGAGGGTACCAAGACAATAAAAGGGGGAAAAAACAGTCTTCCAACAAATGGATCAAAAACCTAATGTAACAGGTAAAACCATAAAACTCTTAGAAGAGGCATAAATCTTCTTGACCTTGGATTAGCCAATGCTTTCTTAGATACAATGCCAAAACCACAAGAAACAAGTGAAACGAGATAAACTGGACCTCATCAAAATGAAAAGACTTGTACTTCTAAGGATATCATCAAAAATAACCCAAAAAGACAACCCACTTTATGAGGGAAAATATTTGCAAATCATATATTGATATCGATAGAGGTCCTATACCTAGAATATGTAAAGAACTCTCACACCTCATAATAAAAAGACAAATTAAACAAAAAATGGGCAAAGGATCTGAACAGACATTTCTCCAGTCAAGCACAAATGGCCCAGCAGCACAGGAAAGATGCTCAACATCATTAGTCATTAGGGAAACATAAATCAAAACCACAATGAGAGGCCACCTCACACTCAGGATGGCTATAAGCAAAATGACAGGCAATAACAAGTGTCGAAGAGGATGTGGAGAAATTAGAACCTTTGTGCATTGCTGGTGGGACTGTAAAGTGTTGCAGCCACTCTGGAAAATTTACAAAGTTAAACATAGAACTACCATGTAATCCAGTAATTTTATTCTTAGATTTTACTCTTAGTATCTACCCAAGATAGGTGAAAACATAGATCCACACAAAACTTGTACATATATGTACATAGCAGCATGAGTCACCATAGCCAAAAGGTGAAAATAACCCAAATGTCAATCAACTGATGAATAGATAAATGAAATATGGTATATCCATACAATGGAATACTGTCAATTTAAAAAATGAAGTACTGATAGATGCTACAACATGGATGAATCTTGAAAACACTATGTTCAGTGAAAGCAGCCAGTCATAAAAGGCCGTATATTGTGAATTTCCATTATATGAAATGTCCGCAGGCAAATATAGAGACAGCAGAATTAGAGGTTGCCTAGACCTGGGAATGGGTGATAGAAAGGTACAGTGACTAAATGGTTAAGACATATTTTTAGGGTGATGGAAATGTTTTAAAATTAGAAGTGTAGTGCTGGTTGTATAACACTAAAAATATACTAAATTCATTGAATTGTACACTTAAAACAAGTGGATTTTATGGTATGTAAATTATATCTCCAAAACGCTGTTTAACAAAAAAGACTGGCTTCCACCTGGCTCTTTCTCTCTGTTCAATCACTTTCTCTGCGAGAGCCAGCTATCACCTCATTAGGACGTTCAAGCAGCTATAAGGAGAGGTCCAGATGGCAAGGCACTGAAGCATCCTGCCAACAACGTTGAGTAAGCTGTCTTAGAGGGGAACTTCCAGCCCCAGACAGGTCTTCAGGTAACTGCAGTCCTGGCCAACATCTTGACTACAACCTCATGAGAGACCTGAGTCAGAACCCTCAAGCTAAACTCTCAAGCTAAACAACTCCTGACTTACCCATAAAAACCATGTTGCTGCAGCCACCAAGTTTTGGTGTGATTTGTTATACAACAACAGATAATGAATACCCCTTTCTTGACCTTCTCCTCGGTGTTAGACTCTCTCTCCTAATGATGGCTATCTAAGGAAATGTCTTCCCAGCAACCCTTCTTCTAAGAGTTTAGTATCCATGTGTTCACTGCAGTAGCTGTCATGTTAGAAGACCATGATCCCATTCCCTGGCCATAGCGAAATGATCTGAAAGTGGGCAACTGACCAAAACCAGGTCAATTAAGTACTTCCCTGAGATTTTTATACCTGCAACTGATAAAAAGGCAGCATCTATCCAGTGCCTGAAGTTATAAGATGTAAAAAACTTGGGGTCTTTAGGCAGCTATGTTATTTCCCATGTGAGAAAAGGTGGACAGCAGTGAGAAAAAATGAAGCTATCGTATAGAGATAAGCAAAGATTCAAGATGGAAAGAGTATCAATGACATAAGTTTCTGGTTCCAGTTATTTTTTTCTGGATGGAAGACCATTTCTATCTTGCATGTAAATCTGAAAATCACTCCATAACAGTATCTTTATGTACTTCTAGTGAGAAGACCATTGCTGCCTTGTAACCCCAGAACCTACACCACACTCAGTGCCTAAGAGATGATGAAATATTTATTGACAAATGAATGGGTAAGATAACCCAATATCTTTCCAATAATAACCCCTCTTTTGTTGCTGTTGTTCAAGTTAGATTTATTTGAATCCTAAGACTCCTAACCTCTTCTTTGCTACCTTTATATTCTGTATGTCCCTCTATTACTATACTTACGACACTATATCCTAATTACTTGTTTACACAGCCTCCTCCCCTACTATCAGAGAGCAAGACATTTTCTTAGCCGTGTTTGGTGTCATCAGTACCATTTAGCCTAGAATACAGAAAGTGTCAAGAAATGTGTTTAACTGATCTAGTCTGTCCTTTACTCTTCATTCTTTAGCTTTTAAAGTCACTGTCATCAATTTATCAACCACCTAACATCTGCAACATACTGGGAATACAATAAACTGTTAGAATTGGTCGTGAATTTCCATCCAGCCAATGAATTCATACAACAAATACTTGAGTACAGGGGCTGAAAATGGACAAGGCCCCGAAGGACCTTACAGTCTAGTGCAGACAAGTAAATTGATTATTACAGTACCATGTGTTAAATGCTGCTGAAGAGATAATGCAGAGGCTGCTGCTAAGCAGCAGCACAGATCATGGGAGTTTTCACTCCACTTCAGAAGGCAAGACACATGCAGGAAAGGATGATAGCCTAGCAATGTGGGAGAGGCTGAGCACCAAATGAGTGACTTGTTTTCCAAGTTACACTGGATGAATTCACACAGTTTCAGAAAAGGTAACTCTTACAGAGTGATTTTCAGATTAACATGAAACCAACATTTCCTGAGTCCCTAATGTGCCAAGCAAACTGCTTAGCACTTTTCCAACAGGATTTCATTCAATCTTGTCTGTAGGTGAGAGAAGTGAGTCTGAAAGAATGACGTGACTTGCCGAAGTCCACAAAGCTATTAAGTGGAAGAACTGGAATTTAGAATTAAGTCTTCCAATCCTACGTCCAGGTACACCATGTTACTCCCTCTACCCAACTGGAACCATTTCCATGTCCTTACATGTAACTTTTACTGCCTTTCATTCATCCTACAGCATTTAATAGTGTTGGGCACAAATGGGCAATCACCAACTGCTGACTTGATATGACCATGTGCTCGTCCACATTTTGAGAAGTGAAGGACCACATAAGATCAAATTACATCAGTGCCTATTATAGCATCATGTGCTGACAGGAACACAGTTGGCTGAAGATGATTAAATCTTTTTGAGTTTTATTTTAACAGTGCTTTTCATCACTATATCGGTCAGTTGTTCCAGTATTCAGCAATAAATCAAATGACTATTCATTTCCTTTGACAGTTAACAGTAAAATGAATCCAGTATAATCTCACCATCCATCAGAAAAATTTCTAAAATGCAAACTTGAAGCTGATGATTCATACGATTAGTAGAGAAAGGGAAATAGAGCAGTATTTGTTGTTTTCTACAAAACTAGCACTGTTTACAAAACCCAGAAACTGAGCAGTTGGTTTACTACTAATAAGTAGATTGCTCCTTGGTCATTGAGTAAAACACTACTAGTTGCACCACGGTCAATGGCTGAGGAGCATATGACTTCCAGTAGCTTCTGCTGTACAGCATGATTCTACACATATAAATCAGTGAATTGTTATGTAAGATATGAAAAAGAAATTCAAAACCTCCACACCAGAAAGCACCTGACACTGAGCCTGACACAATCAGATATTAATACTGAAAAAATTATTTACTGAATAAATGCTTTAATAACTCTTTGAAAACATCAGCTGTCTATTAAATTGAGACCAAAAAAAAATCAAACCAACCAAACGTACACAGGTTATTTTAGGAACTCAAAAAGATCATGGAATAACTGGTTTAACACACACAATAAATTCACAATGACCAAAAAATGTTGAAATAAGTAAGTATGCATTTGACATTCCTCTTAAATTAAGTCACCACACTGGTACTCAGTGGAATGCTAACCAGTAATCACATGATAAATAACAAAAACTAAAAGAACAAGTGACAGATCTAACTTTACAATCTGTTCAAAACAGTAACAAGGTGTATGAAGCATACACTTGAAACCTGCTATATAAGCTGTGTCTACATAACAAAATAATATCCCATTATGCCACAGGATCTGAATCAAAAACCTTAATAAACACTCACATGAACATTGAATAATGAACAACTCATCTTTAATATGTATTATCATAAAGGAAAAAGTGCCATACAAGACTGGGATCCACAAATATAAACCCAACTGTACTGATTAGTCCAAACGAACCTTTTGCAAAATGAACAACCTAGACCCAACATTATGAATTTAAGCAATCTAACAAGTAAAAAGCTTGGGACAACTCTAGGAATCTCAAACATTAAAACGTGAGCGCTTAAGCCGGCCGGTTAGTCGCTTTTACCTAGACCTTTAGATTTACAGAGCCTTCTCTAGGGACCTTTCAAAGAAATTCAAGGCCAAGCATAGTATTTCATGACAATTGGAAATAAAAGCACTCGGTCCCTGTAGTCCATCCCTCTTTATCTCAATAGAGACTGGACTCCTGAAAAGCCAGGGACCCAACCACCCCTTTCTCTCCTACAGGACCCCAGCACCTTAGGGACCCCAACCGGGACCACCTCTAGGGAAGCAGAGGGGAGAAGTCACGCTCCAAAACAAAGCGTCGTTCACCCCACAGTGAGCAAGGCACACCTTTCACACTGGACAGGATGCAGTGACACATGTTACCACCTGTGCGGTAAGGGGGCACAGAGACATCCTCACAGGCAGTGCCAATAGGCAGCTGCGGGCTGCTGCCCCGGCCCCAACTCCCCGCGCCCGCAGCTCATTCCTGGGCCCCGGAAAAGTTTCGGCCCGCACCCCCTGGGCGCGCCCCCACCTCCCGGGACCCCCGGGCTCCCGCCCGGACGCGAGGCTCCGCCCCGGGCCCGCCCCCTGCACCCCCTAGCCCGCGCGGGCACCCGCATGCCCTGGGGCCGCGCCCCCGCGCTGGGCCCGGCCAGCAGAGGGCGGGGTCGCTCACCAGTCCGCAGCTCGTGCTTGACAGTGAGGAGCTGCTCTCCCACGGCGCCGCCGTCCCCGCTGGTCCCCGCGGCACCGCCGCCGCTGCCGCCCTCCTCCTCCATCTTCTCCCTTTGCCGAGCCGCTGGGTCCTACGAGGAGATCCGGGAGACAGCAGACCCCCGGCCCCTCACCGTTCCCGCTGCAGCCCCAGGAGCCGGGTGCGGCGGCCCCAGAACTCGGACGCAGAAACGAGTCTCTTTCCCGCTCTGGCCGCTCGGCTCGCTTCTCCGCCTCCTCCCCCTTCGGCGGGCACCGCTAGTACGGCGCAACCAAACCGCCCCCCTGCTCCGCCGCCTCCTCCTTCAAGCTGCTCCGCCCACAGCCAGCAAGGTACAGGAGCCATTGGAGCCACCACCACTTATTGGGCACAGGGCGCGCGCATCTGCGACTGCCGGTTCCCATTGGGCAATCCTCCATGACGCCTCAAGAGCCGCCCCGCCCCGCTCCTCAAATTGTTGTTGCTTGGCGGGGAGGAAAGAGAGGGCGGAGCAGGAGAGCCCCGATTGGTAAAACCCGAGGTTTTTCCCCGCCCATTTCCTCGGTGCGCACGCGCAGTTAGGACCTTCCTCTCCCTGACCTCCCCAGAACGGTCACACCCCTTATTCCCCAGCTTGGATCTGTTAGTAAACAGTGTCTAGTAGTCAGGAGGTGCTTGGGGTCTGTGATTGGCTACTGCTGAAAGAGGCGGGGAGGGATGATTGGAACGTTTTGTCCGCCAATCAACATGGACAGAGGAGGGGCCTGGGAGGAAGCGCTTCTGACGCACGTGTTTGTAGAAAAACCGAGGGTCCCAGACTGCGATCCGCGGGTGTGTAACCAGCTGGAAGACAACGTGTCTAGTAAAGATGTTACCCTGATGGGCCTTAAACAAGTTAAATGGAGTTTGTGTTTAAATACAGGCAGTACTTGGACACTGCAAAAATTCATATTCCCAGCTCTCAGTAAGGCCTTTTGCATGTACCAGATTTTTCTATTTTGTGCAAGACACATCCTAGGCACCAAAAGGATACAGAGATTAGTAAACTAGAATACAATCGCTGCCTCTAAGCAGCTTTCAACAAAACGTGAGAAGCAATCTGTGTATATACACAGGAAACTACAAAACAATTTAAAATAAAACAGTCATAGAGAACACACAGATGGCATTAATTATCCTCGTTAGAGGAGCTGGGGGAGACTTTTAGGGCGAGGAGGCTTTTGAGATAACCAACTTAAAGGATGGGTGTGGATAAAGTGTAAATTCCTGTGGCCAGGATTCTCATCTGGCCCTGGTTGACTTGCCCACTACACACATGTGGGCAATAAGTTGTTATTGACTCTACATAAAGAGCTCTGCCCAGTGGGCGACTCGGTGGCACAGCTGCAAGGCTACAGAAGAGCAGAAGCTGTTGTGGTGGCAGCACGGAGGACAGAGACTGAGATGGCTGCAGGGGTAGAGAGACCTAGAGGCAGAGACCAACTTGCTGCATGCAGACTCGCACTGAGTTGGCGTGATTCTAGTGATTGACCTGCCCCGTGGGAATAAAGTTGGGTATAACCCTTTCACCCCAAGAATGTTCTGTTATTTCTTTGGTCACATTGAATCCATAGTGAACTTGTCGAGGGCTGAAACCCATTGGCAAGACAATGTGGAAGGTAGAAATACCAGCAGCAGACATTTCATATAGAAATGGTAACTGTGAGCATAGACCTGGAAGTAGAGAAAGCAAATGTGGGTTAAGTGATTGATAAGGCTGGATGGAATTATATGATATTAAGAGATGCAGCTAAAAAGGTAAGGTCCAGTAAGATAATGGAGAACCTAACTACCATGCTAAGCAGTGCATATTTTATTTAGTACAGGATAGGGAGCCTCAAAAAGTAGTTAAAATATGAATGCTATTCTCTTTGGAAATTAACTTTGGTTGTTTTGAAGAGACAGTCCATCTTCAATAGAAGAACAGAACTTGTGGGAGCCCAATTTCTGACACCAGTGAACATGAGAATGGGAAAAGAATAGGAGTTAAGGACATAATTCACAGAGCAGTAACCTTTTAAGCTAAGCATTGATTAGATCAGAGGTCAGGCAACTTTTTCTGTACAGGGCTAAACAGTAAATATTTTAGGCTTTAGGAGCCTTATGGTCTCTTTCACATCTACTCGACTCTGCTATTGTAGTGTGAAAACAACCATAAACAGTAAGTAAACAAATGGATTTGCCATGTTCCAGTAAAACTTTATGGACATTGAAATTAAATTTCACATAATTTTCATGCATCACAATATATTCTTCCTTTAATTCTTTCCAGCCATTTAAAAACAGAAAAGCCATTCTTAGCTCTTGGGCCATAGAAAAACAGGCAGTAAATCAGATTTGGCCTGCAGGCCATAGCTGAAAAACTCCTGGGTTACATTGCCATGGAAGAAAAAACAGAGAAGCCTCAGCAGCCCTTTCAGGATGCCTGAGCTTCCTGGGCCTCTAGAACATTTATCACACTAAACCTCACTGCCTACTTGTCTTTCTTCTCCACAAGTAGTGTGCTCTTCAGAGCCAGGGATGACTGTGTGCAATTGTTCATTTGTTCCCTCAACAACTGTTACACCAGTTATATACCAGGTACCATGATAGACGCTGGAGGCACAGTAGGAGCAAAACATATGCAATCCTTACTCTCATAGAGCCCACAGTCTAGAAATAGAAATAAATATTAAATCATCACATGAAGAAATGTAAACTTTCCTGAAATGTAACCTTTCCATTGTGATGATGCTATAAGGGAAATTATAGGGTGCTAAAATAGAATATATCGGGGGGCCTAATGTAGGTTGGTGGAGCTTGAAGTCCTTTAAAAGGAAGTATTTAGGCTGATTCTTTAAAGTTGAGTAGGTTTAACCAGGATGTGGTAGAAACTGGCCTGATGCTCGTCAATCTCATTTCCTTTTCCTAAACACACAGGAAAACTACTTTATTTTCCCTTTGCAATTAGCTAGGATCATGTGACTGTGATCTGGCCAATGGGGTGTAAGCAGATAAAATGAGTGCTATTTCCAGGCTTGACCAGAAAATCCTATACAAAATCACCCACACTCTCTTCTCTTTCCACAGCAACTACAAAGGCCACATTTTGGTTATGGGGGTGCCACAATTTAGAAGACCCCCCTGAACCCCTAGGTCTCCACTTGAAGAAGAGCCATCCTGACCTACTTCAGACTGATGTGAGCAATAAATAAATCTTATTAGGAATAAGCTACCAAGATGTTGGGGGTTTTTGCTACCGAAGCACAATCTAGCCTACCCTATTTCAGAAGTGAATTGTTGCAGGGAGGAAATTCTATGAAGATGCAGATACAAAGTCCTGAGGAAGTCAAGGAGCCTATTGCATTTTAGGGATTGAGAGAAAACCAATAGATCCCTACAGTAGTCAAGGGATGAGAAGAGGGAGGCATGCGGAGACCCAATCATGACATGTGTGGTAGGCCTTATTAATATTTGTGGAGTTTTTCCAGTGTGAAGTCAAAGCAGTGGAAGGACTTTAAACAGGGGAATGATATAATTGGGGTAATATTTTCAAAAGGGCAGTATGGTTGGTGATGGGAGACTGGGCTAGAGGGAGCAAGACGGGATACAGTTAGGTTATCACTGAGTCTGGGAAAAAGATGCTAGTGGGTGCAGTAGATATGGAAAGAAATGGAATGTTTCTAGATATATTTTTTGAACTTCATGAAGGATTGGATTTGTGGATGAGGAAAAAAGAGGCGTCTGAAATGACACCAGAGTTTCTAGCATGAGCAACTGGGTAGATGAAAGAGGAAGGTGGCACCATTTAATGAGAGGGGTGAAATAATGGAAAAGCCCATATCTGAGAGAAGATCAAGTGTTTAATTTTGAGACATCTAATGCCAATATTAAGTAGCCATGTGGATATATGAGTCTGGAGCTCTGCAGAAACACCTAGAATAGACATACAAATTTAGGAATCACTGGCATATAGGTGGGATTTGAGGCCAGAAATATGAATAACATTACCTGGGGAGAGAATGTACAGAAGGAAGAGAGGAGGATCCCAGGACTGAAGTCTAAGGAATTTCAACATTGAGATGTTGGAATGAGAAGGTGGAGCCAGAGGTGTAGGAGGAAAACTGGATACTTTTGTGTCTTGGAAGGTAAAGTGTTGCAAGATGGAAGGTGTGATCAGCATGGTCACATGCCCTGAGAGATCACATGAGATGAGGTCTGGAAAGAGCCCATGGATTTGCCAACTTGGATGCTGTGGATCAAGTGAAGGCTCCTGTGGCCAGGATTCTCACCTGGATCTGGTCTGCTACACACATGTAGGCAATGCGTTGCTATTGACTCCATATAAAGAGTTCTGCCCAGTGCTCTGGGTGACACGGTGGCATGGCTGTATGGCTGCACGAGAGCAGAGACTGGAGTAGTGGCAGTGCCGAGGACAGAGACTGAGATGGCTGCGTGGGTAGAGAGGCCCAGAGGCAGAGACGGGCTTGCTGCATGCAGACTCACTCTGAGTGGACGGGATTCAAGAGATTGACCGACCTGCCACCGTGGGAATGAAGTTGGGTATAAACCCTTTCACCTCAAGAACGTTACATTGTCATTCCTCGGTCTCATTGAATCTATAGTGAACTTACCCGGGGGCTG